TACAGATTTTTGCCACAGGAATCTGTCGCTCAGATGAACATGTTATGAGTGGTGCACTAGCCCAGCCTTTTCCAATTATTCTTGGCCATGAATCAGCTGGTGTTGTAGAGAGTGTTGGAGAAGGCGTGACTTCTGTGAAACCAGGTATAAGAGAGCCTCAAGTGCTAATCAATGAGAAGTAAAAACTTAAAAAACCAACAAATAGTCTGGTAGTTGTCACACAGCATTCATACACCCTGCTCCAAGATCAGAGACGCTAACATGTATGAACTCCCTTAGTGCAAAGGAAACTTTTCACCCTTCACAGGGCCTTGCTAAGGATAATTTGTAGGAGAAATCTGTGGTTTGTATGTCTTGCTGCACTCCCACGTGAACTTTTTTATCTCAGATGTTTTTCCTGTTCACTCCTAGTTTTTTCAGAGGTACCCAAATCCCTTAATGTGACTCTGAAATGCTTCTCCTCCCGCAGCATTCAAAATAGGTGCTTAATTGTATTTCACTTAAGGGAATCAAATGTGAGCTACCATTTTGAACTCCGATCCTCATTAGGAATAATAAACCCTCATTTCATAAGGAATAACACTTATTTTGAAATTGCTGTTTAGAAATAGTGATGGTGCGGATGCTCCACTCCTGCAATTTCAAAATAGCTTTTCTCCAGGATTATTCAAATTACTCCCCAGTGCTTCCTGGTGTTCTAAATCAAGATAGTGCGTCCACATTAAAGGAACCTGCCTCAGATTAATTTCGAGGCTTCCCTGTAGTGTGGATGTGCTATTTCAAAATAGTTATTTTGGGAGTTATTATTCTGAAATAACTTATTTTGAAATACCCTTGTGACATACCCTCAGGGCCCAGGTTTGATGGTACTGAAGTTCACACTTCAGTCTGAGCATTGGAGTGACACTAACACAGCAAATGTCTTAATTCGTCTTCCATTTTTGTTCCTTTACCTGTTCTTTCAGTGAAAGGACATTGTTCCATTGTTCCTTTCATGATATTCTCTGTGCCACAGAGCTGGTAAACATAAAACCCAGGGAGGAGGTGTTCATCTTCTTCTGCACTCTGCAAGACCGGACACCAGTGCCTATATGCTTTTCCCGTTAACTCTGAAATGTACGAGTAGGGCTGAAAAGAGTGGTTAAGATACAATATTAAATGAATCAATGCACTGGTTAAGTGTTGGACTGAATCCAAATTATGTTTTAAAATTTAAAACATTTAGTTACTTTTATTTTTATTTTTCCAGGTCTCAGTACCTCCTGGCTATACTGGCAATATAAGAGCTTCAGTAATGTAAAAGCATCCTTTCTATTCTTGTTGGAATTAGAAAGAACTGGAAATCCTATTAGATTTCCAAATCAAATCACTCTGAATAAGCTTCATATATTCACTTTTTTTACATGTTTTGTCAGCAAAGAAGCACCTTTTCTCCTTTCTTTTGAGTCTGGCATAGTGTGTGTGATGATCATTTGTCCCAGATAATTAATATAAACATAGTACTTTTAATGCTAACTACCATGGAATTTCACTGGGGTCTTGCTGTACTTTGGGCAAATCATGAGAGCAACTTTTACTTTGGAATTCTACTGTTGCTTTGGGCAACTGACCTGTGGTGTGGACTGTGAGCTGAAGGAAGAAAGTCTGTGCTAACTGCAGTCCAGAGGGCAGTTGGCAATGAGATCTGTCAAAGTCCTATTCAGTGAGGTTTTAAGAACTAAAACTGGAAAGTTGCTTTCAGCAGTCTTTTATATTAGCAAATTATTGTAAATTATTGTTGCTACTGGAATTTTAAATTATTTACAATTGGTTGCTTTCCCCCTTCTCCATCTTCTAATTCCTGTGGTTTATTTCCCTAGACTATCTGGCCTTAGACACCCCAACAGCTTCCAACTTAGCCATTAAAGTGCCATTGTTTTATCCAAATAATCCTCTGATATCTTTTGATGTTTGCCCATTGAGACTGGGTTAGGAAAGGTAGCCATAATCTTCCCAAATCCATCATTTTGTGGGAAAGTTTGATTCTTTTCTCAGACGCTGCATTAAAACGGCGTCTAAGCCTAATATTATTTGCTAGGGTTCCACTGTGAATTTCTCCACTGTTGAGCTAGATTTGTGTTACCTTGTTAAAAAATAGACTTTTTAAGAATTACCATGCCACCACATGTCAGCAATTCAGCTACAGGTTCTGATTTGATTTTGCCAGGATTATAGTACTGTGGTAGTTATATCATAGAGATAGTTGCATTAAGAACTTAATGTTTTATTCTGAGTAGCGTCTCACAGTTCTTTAATATGAAGGAATGATTACAGCTAAAACCCAAACTTGCACATATAATTGCTTCCATAACAAAGGCAAATGTGTGCGCCAGTGAAGCTGTTGAATGTTAATGACAAGACACAGAGACCATTTCATCAAATATCGCTGTTGTTCGACGGACCATTTTTTGTGCTGGGAAAAAGAAGACAAAGAGTTCAGACCTTCGTGTAATTAACTACCATGATTGTTGACTAAGACCGTGAACACCCAACCTAGCTAAAGAACTGCTGAGAATTTTTAAGTATTAAAAGCAGATTGGTGTGTCAGTTTTGTGTGTCAGTTTTGCTGAATTTTAATTTGGTCAGAAACACAAATGCATCATCCAATATTCCTGAACCATAAGAGATAGTTCCCTAAAATGGAAAAATAAGAAATTCAGAGTTTTAATCCACATATAACTAACTACCCTTATGATGGTGTTATGGTAACATGGAAAAGGTGACACCGAGAAACAAAATTTTGACAGGGATCAATTTGTGATGATCTTCTGTTCTTGAATACCTTTCAGTAAAATGAAAAATGGCTTATCTTTGTTTTATCTTGCTTGTTGAATCTGAAGTTCTGGGAAATTTGTTATAAAATGTTAGTGTGTGTGTTTGAGCATTTCTTTCTGGGAGTGTAGTGTCCTCATTATCTATAGTGGTCTGTTTGCCTTCTGTGTTTGTGCTGGGGGGGTTGTTCCCTTTGTAAGCGTATTGCATAACTACAAATTGTGTAAGTCAGCTGAATTTTCTTGTTTTGGCAAATCAGACTTTAATACAGTCTGTTCCCTTTCAGTGGAATTTAAAAACTGGGTACTTAATAGCCTGTAGAAATGCCACTTTTATCAATTATTAAAGGTAATATACATTATTACCTTTATGCAGAGATAGATCAACAACAAGTCAGAGTTAAAGTTGGCAAAAGTGGAGACATTAGAAAAGATAGGTAACATTTGATAATAGTAAAAGTAGCCTTTTTAAAAATGCCTTTGCTACATATTTCCCAAATTTTAGGGAAATTTGGGAAATTTAAAATATAAGTTTTTAGATGTTAAAAATTCCAGTAGCAACAATAATTAAACACACTTGTAGATTAGTCCCCTATTAAGGTACTCTAGAATGGGTCTGCAGACATCC